CCAGCCATGACGGGGAAGACAATACAAAGCGGCACGAAGCAGGCACCGATTTACTCGATGAAGCCCCGACAAACCCGGGGACACTTTAGCGAGGACTTAGCCAAGGCCCCCGGTCCCGGGACCTACAACACTATCGAACCCGGTATGTACAAAAATAGGGCCCCAATATACAGTATGACAGCACGCAATGCCATGCCTGGGGATAGCACACAGAAACCCGGCCCCGGGGCTCACTCTCCTGAGGTGGTCAGGATCAACAAGCGGGCAGCTCCAAACTTCAGCTTTGGGATTCACCACTCCCCCTACATTGCACCCCTCATTGTGGAGGCGGAGTAGACGTCAAGTGATTACTGTTCTGAAGACATTGGTAGTGATATTATTACACAGAATGTATAGTGTGTACTTTGTCATCAGTTCATGTCGCGTGGAAAATCCATGAATCCAAGTATCAGTATCCGTAGAAACCATGTGACGGACAATCGCGTAGGAAACACACACGTTGTACAACTGAGGACTCGATAACAACATTTGATTCATGACGTGTTATATATAGTGCCTTGTCTTTAGAATGAGACTGTAGGTACTTCAACTGTTATATGTTTTTAATAGTTTTGGTTTGAAACATGCCAGGATCTTCACTACGAGTCTTTCTTATAACAGGATGCTGATCGTTACCGTATATCTATAAGGACGGTGAGTTGTGTTAATTGGTCAAGTTATGACGGTCCAGTCTGACCGATGTGGTATCTTGTTACGCCTGAACGTGACGTGGAGTACTTATTTATTGCTGATTTCTATTTGATTTTTAGATGTATGTAATTCAGTTATGTGTCCAGTTCTTTATTCTGTTCACAATAAATTGCTCAATGTCAAACATTAACAGTTCATTGTGTTTATTTTTTACATTGTTTATGGATGTTGGCAATGTCTTACTATCTTACACCGGAAGACCGTTGTTATGCTAGCTGATATTGAATTACTTTGAAATATAAAGTGAACAGGAATTTAATTTTGATGTTTAGTAATAGGTTTTGGACTCAACAACACATGTTTGTTTCCTAGATTCTTTAATTCACTACTGACCTAAATCACGAGAGAAAGGAACCTACAAACACACTTTTTTGTAGTATAAATAGTCTTGACACCAATTCGAGGATGCTCCGAGAACGGTTCATAAACTTGCCTTATGACAAGAAAAGGGGTTTCGCGCAAATCTGCGGACACGTTTTGTCGTCTTCTTGGCTTGCTCTAATCGGAGTCTGGCAATAATATACAGATAATGACAAAAACTGGGGCTCATCTATAAACATTGTATGATACCGGCAAAGGTTACTCGCATACAGGTTACCCACATACTCGTTTGTTACCCTCAGACAGGTTACCCACATACTCGTGTGTAACCCAGGAACAGGTTACCCACATACTCGTTTGTTACCCGCAGACAGGTTACCC